TTTACTTGCTTAAGGTCACGGTTGAGAGGAACGAGACGCTCGACTACGATGAAGCCGTCACCCTGTATGGTCTGTGTGCACGGGTGTTGACCAGCAGGAGCGGCAGTCCTCAGTGGGTCCTCGCCAGCAGTGACTGATGGCGATGTGGTCGATTTGGGTCCAGCGCTATGAAGCGGTTGGTGGTCTCCATGTGAGGCGGTCATTTCTTGTGCAAGAAACTCATGCTTGACCGAAACAGTTCGTGGTCAGCACAAAGTTGAAGTAAGCCTTCTACGCTGTCAGTCCTGTTGACTGGGATTGCATGTGAATCTCCAGGTAGCTTTTCCGATTTAGGGATCCCACTTGAGCATTGAAGTCTCCAGCGACTGTCACGATGTCTGTTGACTGAGCACTTTGGAGCAGTTGAGAGAGGTCCTTGTAGAATTCATCCTTCATTTCTGGTGAACTGCAACTTATCGGTGCATACGCGGATACAATGAATAAGCATAGACGCTTCGCTCTGTAGTTGTTAATCGGTACTGAACCATCCACACGTGAAGCTTAAAGCCGGCTACTAACCGGGATCCAGTCGAGAAGTGAACTCTCGGTCTTGATATTCAGCGCACTCTCAACGCCAGCAACACCGCGAGCTTCGGAAGCCGAATCGCCTGACACACGGAGAGTGAAGTGTGAGGATGAGGTTGGATTCGGAGAACGCAGGGAGATGATTGAAGTAGAGTCCCGTACGCGAGTTTCGGAGACACAGCATATATCTAAATTAAGAGTTTCAAGGGTTCTAGCTAAGGTAGCTTGTTGACCAATCTGATAGTGTGCGGACATTAAATGCGGCTAAGTGAAAAGGGGATTTTGGTTTAAAAAATTCAATAGCCTCTGAGTGGTTGATCTCATTAGATGAACGCTGAGTGATATTCCATGGGTGGCACAAACAGGATGCATCTCTCAAGGTTTGGGAATGAGAAGAGGAAGTGGACATATGAGAAAGAGGGTTATCCAAATGAGTACCTAAGACTTTCGGGCGCGGCATACTTCGCGGTAGCCCACACCGATGAACGGGTTTTTCTTCGGGAACCCTAACCGGAGTCTTCGACTCAAAAATCTGACCCACAAGGCAGTGGGGCGTAAATCCAACGCGGGAGCGTGAACGGAGCACCAGTATGGGAGTTTCTAGACCTGTCACGCAAGGCCTACCCTTAAGTAACTGTGGGTCGAATACGAAATACCGTACGTTAAGTCCATCTTGCATGGGCTTACGACCGTGATTTGTTTTTCACGAACAGCGAACGGTAAGGACAGAGTGGTTGGATTTCCGTACCAGATACACACTTGTGTGTGTGTGTGTGTAGTGTGCGAGTAGTGTTGACGGCTTGTCACTTGAGAGACAGTTTCATCGGATAAAAATGCAAATGAACCGCAACTGAAATTTGAACTCAGTAATGTGTTCCCGGTTTAGTATATAACCTGGTGTGTATGAAAGGTTGGTTGACTAAAAGCAAGACGCTCATTGTTAGCTGGTCCTAGAATCATTCAATTGCTTGTTGTAGAATGTTAGCAAGTGTTTCTAATGCTAGGGATTTCACACTGGAAATCCGACTAGACGACATAGAGATGCGCGAAAAACGAAGTCATTATAATACGAGGTTTCATAGGAAATGTATGATTAGGATAAAAAGGTACAGACTTCGAATCGTGCGATAACTTGGACAGTGAATGCTTGCGTTGTCGAAACAATTAAATGACAAAGCGCCTAGAATAGCGACAAATGGAGTTTACCATCACAACAACATGAAAACAGTGTTTTGCTGTGATAAAGGAGCTCTCATTGGCTATCAAGCGTTCAGTTCAACAGCTGCGCGCAAATGGATTTCAGTCGAGAGCGAGGATGAGAATGAATTGGTGCGAACGGGGAAGTGGAGCGAGGGGACAAACACTCTTCGGTAACTGACATGAACAATGCCTGCGCTTCTGCGTATCGATCAGGTGAGCACGAGTACAAAAAGAATGTGACGGGGATGAATGGTGAAGGTCAGCTGAACGGCGGTGGTAAGAGACACGCATGAGATTGAAACGGTCGGATTAATCAAAAGGCTCGTTGAATCAACTCAAACATGGCGCGCCAAAGTTAGACGGACTGAAAGTTTACCCATTAGGATGATTAAAGCAATTCATGACTTGAATTGAGGTGACAAGAATCGAGAAGTGGAGGAAAATGGTTCTGGCAATGCACAGAGAGGTGAGGTAGTAAGTTGGGTAGGAAAAGGGTCAGTCCAGTTGGAGAACAAAATAGATTCAACGCTTATATCTGTGAGGAAAGAACCCTTTGACACTGCAAACATTTGTATCTTGTTTTACCTTGCTTGGAGTTTAGTGACCTTGACCGTTTGTTGAAGTTTTCTGCCCTCTATTTGAGCGCTCGAAATAATCGCGTATAGATAGATTGTTTTGTCCTGCCTTGCTTTTATTACTACAAACAACTCAGTGTGATGAACAGCAAACGGGGTGAACCCCACAGTCACGTAGACCTGCTATTCAGTGATGGCAACCGGTAACCTAAGCCCCGGGGGACTTGGAGCAATGAACCACAGAAAACCCCATTAAGCTAAGTGTGTTATTGAACCGGAGCATGGAACATGTTGCCTAACAGCAAAGTCGGGCGGTGACGGTGGCGGGGCTCAAACTTCAAACCATAGGATCTAAAGCACACCGAGGATAGCGACTAAACTACTGTCCCCCACACACACATACACATACACATACGCCGCTGGGGACAGTGCCAAGTAATAAAATCCGTGTTCATGCATGACTGCAAAACTTTGTCTCAGGGCAGCTGAGCACATTTGGCGTTCCATTACCACGGTGGTTTTGTTCCGCTGAAATGAATTTTGATTATTCCTGCCTCCTCTATGCCTGCTCTAGGATGATAGCGATTACTTCATGCTGTTCAATTCCCGCATAAAAATTATTGGATACAAGATTTAGAAGAACTATATGGATTCTCTAGTTGCATCTATACGCCGGTCATAAACTGACTAGCCATTCAGCCAGCTGATTGGACAGCTGAGCACATTTACTCTCAGTTCTATTGTCTCAGAACTCCAGATAGGCTGTGCATTTATGGATTTTTTTAACTTTCCATTCAAGTTTTCATTGCATGTAAGGGCAAAGCGGTGCCTCGCCGCCGAATTTTTCATCGGTCTCACTTGAGCATCGGTTTTTCACCCGCAGTTGGTTGGCCGTGATGGCCATGGTGTTTATCGCGGTGGGCATCCCGATCGGAGTTACCGCGGCTTGTCTCATCAATGTGCTCTGTCGCGTTCGTGAGTATGTCGCTTACAAAGAAGCCAAACGACGGGAGCTCGAAAGTCGTGTAAGTTTATCCGTGCATTCTTTCATCCATTCACCTATGCATTCATCCCTGCACATATCCGGGGTGTTCCTGTTGTTGACCATGTTTTACTTACTGTG